ATTCAAATCAGAAACAAATCAGTCACAGGAGTCACTATAAAAGTATTTTGATATGCAAAAATTGAGAGTCCTCTCCCAGTTGTTGATGGATGAAAAAAATGCTTGGCCAATAAAAGAGAAAATAAAATTCGTGGATTTTTTGCTACTGCATTGGTCGGAGAGTGAGTTATTTTTCTGACTGGTTACGTGCATTGTGATTGGTGAGATAGTACCTGCGAATTGAGTTTTTGGCATTTCTTTCTGTCCCCGATGTTCAAGTCTGAACTTACAGTGATTTATTCTCTTCATTGTGGAAGTAATCTGCAACAAATATTTCCTTTGCAATTCCAGATCGCTTACACTGCATAGGAGTGTACTCTTATTATATAATAGTTCAGTACTCTTTTCTTTGTACCTAATGAAATTTTTCTATTTCTTAATAATTAACTTAGCTTTTGGAATGCATCTTTTCCTATCACAATGTGACTTTGTATTTTGTTGTTGCGCATTCCACACTCTATTAAAACACTTCCCAGAGATTTAAATTTTTTACTTGTTTGATTTTAGTATCTCTAATTTGTAATTTACATGTGGAGTTTTTCCTTTGAATTCTGTCTTCTTGCAATTGATCTTTAGTCCTTTCTTCTCATTTTCTGTCACTACCTTTGTTGGATAATGGTCAGGTGATACCCATTGCACATGCCCCTCTTTACCAGATGAGGAGTTAATTCCAATACACTTAACCCCCACATAATTATCTTTCATAATATTATTGTTAAGAGACATGTTTTTGACAACTTGTGAGCTCAAAAGTGTCATAAAACAGTTTTAAATACAATATTAATCAAAATTTGTGTTTTTTTAATAACTTGTGAGCTCAGAAGTGTCATAAATCATTTTCTAAATTCAAAATGAAGCAAAATTTGAAAGGAAATCAACAGCTACAAGAAATTGTGTGATAGAAAAACAAATTTCCTATTTGGTTAAAGAATTAACAGAATGCCTTTAAAATAGAATGATTAGTATTAATGGCCTATTGGTAGAAATTGTAGATTTTTTTATAAACCTATAATTAATATGAAATTTTTAATGAACTATAATTAAGGCTAGATTTTTGTTTTAAATTTTATAATTAATATTTGATTTTACTGATGCATTAATAAGTTAAAGTTTAAATATGTCTTTGCAATCATTTATATATTATTCAAAACTTTTTGTGACCTATACTTTAAAATGTGAAAATAATTTTATAAATATAATGTTAAATTTTTCTCAATAAAATTTTACCCACAAAAATAATCTCTGATATGCCTCATCTCATAAAAGTAAAATAAAAATAATACTACATTTTATATATATGACTATGGAATGTAGTTCATCTGAGCACTTTCTCTGGAAGTAGTGATAGAACAGTGAGATGCTTGTCATGTCTCACCTGTGGGAGTAAGGTTGGATGGTGGAGAATAATTCATCACCCACAAGGGCTTGGAACATTTTCAAGTATGACATCACATTGGGTGAAGTGTTTACCTTGAATTGAAAAAAATAAATAGATACGTTTATATGCAGGCATTTGATTTTAATTTAGTTCTATAGATAATCATAGAAATTTCTGGTAAAACTATCTAGAGATGCTTGAGATTTTTTGATTAGTTTGTATAATTTTTTAGGTTAGGCTACATAATTATTGAAAAACCTTGCTCAAGATTTGCTCCTTCTTCTCCTATTTGCTGTGTCCCTTCAGGGCATGATCTATCATGGCTCTCAACAACTTCTTATCCTTTGCAGTTCTTAGTAAACTTTGGCTTTTTACCATTCCTCTAACCCTTGTTCCATGATCCATTTACACAAGTTTGTGTGGTAGGTAACTTGCCTCCTCCCACTTTTCATTTGACCTTTGATAAGTCCTGCAAGTGTCAAGTTTTCCAGGATTTTCTTCCACATTAGAAGTTCTAGAAATTTCAGCTGCCTCTTTCTGATTCTAAGTAAAGGGTGTTCCAATAATTTGGACCGATTTTAAATATGAATTAAGTTTAAGCATCTAATGATTTTTTTCTTTTTCTTTCAGATGTAACAACTTAAATCTGTGGCAATTTCAACCATGGAAAGATTAACAATCAAACAACGTGTTAAAGTTATCGAAGCCTATTACAAAAATGAACATTCAAACAGAAATGCATTTTGCGCAATTTGCGATTTTTTTGGTCAACATAATCAACCAACCAAGAGTGCAATTGGAAACAATGTAATCTTGTTGTGGAGAGGTTCAATTCCTGCATGCGATGATGAATAGAGGTGTCTGGATTTTCAGCTATATTCTTATGCACTGCAGCAATGTTTTCAGCTGAATGGCGTAAACAAGCACTCAGTGGTGTTTTCACATCTGCCACCAACCCAGTTTGTTTGAATTTATGAACAATTTTTCCAAATGTACTCTTGGAACTTTAACACGTCTTTTGATTGTTAATCTTTCCATAGTTGAAATTGCCAAAGATTTAAGTTGTTAAATCTGAAAGCAAAAGAAAAAATCTTTAGATGATTAAACTTAATTCACATTTAAAATCAGTCCAAGTTATTGGAACACCCTTTACAAGTGTCTATTTAGGTTCCATTTTCCTTGATACTTCCTTGCTGCTTTAATGCTCCAACTATGTTATTCTCAGTATCCTTCTGTAGAACCACATCTCTGTTGTCTCCAGTCTTCCTCTGTGAAGAGATTTTCCAGCATTCACTGCCATAAGGAGAATTGATATTACATAGCAGTTTAACACATTTTGTTTCTAACAAAATTTCTTTGCTTAGAAGTACTTTGTTTAGAATTTGAAAAGCATCTTTTGTTACTCTTTTTTGTGTTCAGATTTTAATGTTCCATTTGCCATCCTCTGTTAGAACACTTCCCAGATGTTTAAACTGTTCTACTTGCTTGATGTTGACATTGCCAATTTCTCATTTGCATCTTGAGATGTTCTCTTGCTGACAATCATACTTTCTGTTTTCTTACAGTTGATAACTAGTCCTTTTTTCTTGCTTTCCTTTCCTACCCTATCAGAAGGTCTGTAGGTTTCTCTCTCTCTGCAGAGTGTCATCTATGTATCTTATATTGTTAAAATTATGCCCACTTATGATAAATTCTGTTTTGATTTTGACATCTCCAGTTTATAATTGGCTACATGCTAAAAAAATTCTTTAGTTTGTAATTGTTAATGAATTACACCAACATAAAAAATATGGTAAGGATATTAAAATAATCCAGAACCTATAGTGGGAGCAAATATACAGTTAGAAAATGAATTTGGTAAATATGCAAAAATTAAAAAAAATCATGAAACAAAGATGTGTCTTCTCACCAGACTTGTGTCATTTTTGCAGTGAGGTGATCCTGAGAGAGTTGGAATCCTACCAGGATTTATTACTGCTGGACACAATCTTGGAATTTAAGTATCTGGGAAATGTTTTAACTGAGGATGGATAATCTTAGACTGAGATCCAAAGGCACATTGGAGTGTCAAGATAAAGAGAAACTGGAAAGAGAAAGACTGTATATAATGAGGAAGAAGAGTGAAAAGAATTATGAGAATTCTTTTAAATTGAAATGGAAAGTGAAAGTGAAATAAAGGAAAAGGGAAGAGAGAAAAGGAAATAAAAAGGAAACGGGAATAAAATTGGTAATGAAAGAATAGGAAAAGAAGAAGAAGGATAAAGTGGAAAGAGGCTAAAAAAGCAAAGGGAGTAGAGAAAAAGAAATAAAAAGAAAACAGAAATAAAATTGGTTATCAAAGCATAGGAATGGAAGAGAAAGGCTAAAAAAGCAAAGAGTGTAGAGAAAAAGAAATAAAATCTTAATATTAGATATGAAAGTGACAGTGTTGATAGCAGACATAGGAAGGAAACAGTAAAACCCCATGCATAAGATACTGAAGAAAAGCAAGAAGAAAGGTCTGAACATAAACTGTAAGAAAGCTGAATGCATGATTGTCAACAAGAGAAAGAGCCCATGACATGAACAACAAATTGTAGATGTTGTAATTAAGCAATTATAAAAATTGAAATGTCTTGAATGCATTTTAACAGAAGATGAAAAATCTTACACTGAAATCCAAAAGCATATTGACAAGCTTGAAAAAGTATGATGAAACTGGAAAATTTAATTAGAAACAAAAAAAAGAGTACTAAAGAGTTATGTAATATCAATCCTTATCTATGGCAGTGAATGTTGGACAATCTCCTCACAGATGAATAGGAGACTTGAGTAATCATAAATGTGGTTCTACTGAAGGATGCTGAGATTGCTGTAAAAGGAACATGTGAGTAAGAAAGAAGTTTTAAGGAAAATAGAAACAAAAAGGATGCTTATACTTAGAATCAGAAAAAAGACAGTTGAATTCACTCGTCAAAAAAGGAACTTTGTGAATTTGATGTTCACAGGTTATATTAAAGTCCAGAAGGGCAAAGGAAAGCAGTAAGAAACTTAGCTAATGAGCTTGTGTAAATGGATGGCAGAACAGGAATTGGAAGAGATAACAAAAGAACACAAAACTTGCTAAGAGCTACAAAATATAGGAAGTTATGGAGAGATATGATCACCCACATCCTGAAGGGACATAGTAGAAGATGAATGTAATGCCACAAAACTTCTCAGTGATTATTTTCTCAGCCTGTAGCGAAGGTAACTAGAATCTGAAGTGAAAAGATGGATGGGTAGATTTTTATTGGAATTGCTTTAAGCAAAATAACAATAATAATAAATATATGCATTTGGGTCATGAGCAGCCATCTTGTTGACATCAGAAACACAGCATTTGTATTGAATGCAGTCAAGTAGAGAAACATAGTACTTTCCAGGGGAAAGTCAGCAACTTACAAAAACCTGCTTCTTTTCTAAATGATGGTGTGTTTCTCAAATTGGCTCCTGTCATCCTTAAAAGAGTACCAGAATCAAATCTCATTGCTTAAATCAAGAATTTATCCCTTACACCTGACATCTGACTCCCCCATTTAGTTTGTGGCGGTTAATGGCAACGATGGTTTCCTTACTTCTCCTTCTCCTTCTCCTCCATGATATTGTTTTGCCTGTCTGTCTGTAGAGTGCTTCACTTTCATCATCCACCCTAAAGAAATCTTGGGTCATGAGCTGGAAATATTTTGTATGTGCAGGTTGTTGTATCAAGTTTCTTGAACCTTCTAGTCAAAGAGTTGGAAAATGTGGAGAGCAGATGAGAAAGAATTAAAAATAAACAAAATGAAAGAGGAAGGAAGTGGAAAAAAGTAAACAAATGAAAAAGTGGATGAGAAAAGAAAAGCAAGCAGGATGAGAAAATTAGAGCCGTAAAATGCAGAGAAGAAAAAACTAGAAACTAATGGGAGAAAGAAAATATGTTAGGAAAACAAAAAAAAATAAGACAGAATTCATGAAGGCGAATGAGAAAATATAGAAAAAGTGAAAAAATGGGATTAAAAAAACATAAACAAAAGATGTAATCATGTGAATAATGATGCTGGAAAGAAAAAAGATAGGAAGAGAGAAAACAATAATGAGGAATGTAAAAAGAGAGGCTAATAAAGGCTTAGGGATGTAAGAAATAAATAAAGATAAAATGGTAAGATATATATAAAATAAAGAAGTTAATGGCCAGAGTTGAATTAGACCAGGAAACAGTAGTATTAAAAAATTGCTCAATACATATATAAAAAGATAAAAAAATTAACATGTAGAGCTTTCAAGTATAGAAAATAAGGTAATCAGCCAATTCAGCTCCTTTGGTTTCAATCTTTCAGTATCTTTGTGTGGAGAAGGTGAGGAGGAGGGGAAAATTAAGTGCATTAGAAATGTATCAGTGGGGAATTAAATGAAATATACTTATGTTCTTTTTATTCCACTTCAAATGAGCTCAAAAGAAACTTTTTAGTATTTATACAACAGAACATAATTTCTGATCTCTGGTTTAAAGGTTTTTTGGTCTATAAATGTTATTATAGCTAATTTCTCTTGTTGACAAAGGTTTCAGATGTTTTAAAAAATATAGTGTTCATAAATTTTTATTTTTAAAAAATAAAGAATTAGTAAATCAATTAACTGAAATTGTCTGAAGATACCGAAAGGTTGAAACCAAGGTAGCAAAATTAGCTAATTTCTTAATTTTCTATACTTATATATATATATATATATATATATATATATTGAGAGAGAGAGAGAGTTTGCCTGGATGCAATTGCATATTCAAAGATGCATGGGCATTCAAAAATTATATATATATACAAGAGTTGTTCAATATGACCATAGCCTGACTAAATTCTTAGATGAATTTTGATCTGAAATGTTAACTGTATAATGTACCACCTATGGAATCAATGGAGAGATGTTAGAGTAAGTGCATTGACAATGAAGAAGGTTATATTGCAAAGTAAATATTTGTTGAATGAAATAAATATCGGCTATGGACAAATTTATATCTATCTATCTATCTATCTATCTATCTATCTAGGTAGATTTGCTTTATATGGTACAAGACCAGATGAGGATATAATGACACTATTGCATTTATTATGTATTCAAAATTTTGGGCTTGAGTTTTATTGTCTGTCTCTGTGTGTGTATTTTCTGATGTCATCAAGAATTTAAGTGTACTGCTGATGTAATATCTTCTCCTTTCCAATACACATAAATTCCTCTTATGAAATTTCTACAAAATGGTAATTGAAGATTTAATATTTTTTCTCACAATTGCAGTTATATTTTCTCTTTATAAAAATACTGATTTCTTTTGATTTTCCAACATGAATTATGAAAGGTCTCTCATCTCTTTCATTAAAAAAGTTTTAGATTTAATTGTGACAGAAACCAAAGTATGTAAAGGTCAGAACGAGTCTAATTAGGGTTGGTATTTCAAATCTTGCTTTTACTGGTGCTAGTCATGAGGCATTTTTAAGTAAATTTTATGATTATTTTCATGCATCCAAACATAATTTGAATCAAATTTTGTTCCACTGATTAACACATTCTTTTCTTACAATCTCCATTTCTTTTTCCTTTTCTTTTAGTTTTTATTATTATTAGGTGTGAAAAATATCAAAATTTGTTTTTCATTTTGCGTCACCTTTACAGGTATAATTATCTAATTGACAACATTTTTTGTTCTTTTTCTTTCTTTAAAATAAATTCTTTTAGTTTAAGTAATAATGGATATTTTTGATTCAAATGACAGAGATATTGTGTGTTTTGTTTGGTAATGGGATCCAATTAAACTGACATAAAAATGAAAAAAATAAGTAAGAAAAGAAAAGATACTGAATAAATAAAGAAAACAGATTGAAAACTCTTGAATAAGAAATTTAAAAGAAAAACATTGAAAATAGATAAAAGGAAAATAATAGGGAATACATAGTGAATGAAATGTCGGCACGTTAACTTGTTTTCAATATGGTCGTATATGTTAAAAAAAACTACTTTCACATTTCCTATGATGTCATTTCCTGTCACTCTTTCAGCTGAGGGCCAGAATGTATATATAGTTCACAGTTGAGTGATGTTAAGAGTGCACAATTTGGTGAGACAAGCTGACAGGGGGAAATAGTGGGAGACAGCTATTATGCAGTTAGAAGTTTATTTACATTACTTGCATGTGGACTATTGTCTTTATCTTTGTTGTTATTATCACAATGTTGCAGCTGTTCTGCTATCCAGCTTTTATCAGGTGCTTCTTTATTTAATCTATGGGTATAGATTCTTCTTGTTCTGCTGATCGTGTTTTGGGAGATCTTGTCAGCAGAAGAAGAAAAATTTATCTTTGTAGATAAAATAAAGAGTTCAGTTTAAAATTTGCTGCAGATTAAACCTGATTGCTAGATAGCTAAATAAGGAGAGAAGGCAAAATCACTGTAAAGTTGTAATCATAACAAAAAAAATTAAGATAATAGCCCACATGTAAATAATGCCAATTTCACATCCCAAAATATCAGAAATCCGGAATTTTTTGTTTTTGTTACAGTGTCAGCAAGATATAAATTCATTCACTAGACACATCTGAGGTCCAGTCAACACTGAGAATGGTTCATTATAAACTTCAAAACATTTCCAACAAACAGTGACTAAATGAACTAAAGGATACACAAACACACACACACACACACACACACATATATATATATATATATATATATATATGATAATGAACTCTCCCATCAGTTTCGACATATGAGGATCTGACAGCTTACTTGGTTCAGTTATGAAATTTTGTGTGATAATCTTAAATGGCATTTAACACCCGCTAGTGATTTACAAAGGAGGCCACATATGAAGCAAGTGTGAGGATTGTGAGATGAGATCACTGTTAGATTGGCTGACCTTTTAGATCTTGCTCTTGCTTCTTGAAGATGATTCAGACAAGCAGATTGAAAATTGCTGAGTTCACTAAAACACGTTGATCTCCATTCTACCCGCTCCAAGGCTAAACGCTCAACGGTGTTATGTGCTATATTGACTGCTGACAAGTTGATTTTCAGCTTGTCTTTGTATCTTAGCCATGGGTGTCCTACATTCTTGTAGCCCTGATCTAACTGGCTGTACATTAGGAGCTTGGGTATCCTGTCATCAGACATTCTCAAGACATGACCAGTCCACTGTAACTGAGACTGTATATACACGCACACACACATTTTAATAATTAGGAGATCAGTTGATCTTGGTTTCAACTTTATGGGTCCAAGAACCTTTTGAACCAGAAATTCTTGAGCCCTTGCATACATATTAAGAAATTCCACTTATGCACATATGAAACTGGATAAAAATAAGAAAAATGTATATTTCACTTTCCCTCACTGATTCTTTTACTATACCCTTACTTTTATTCTCTCCCCCCTTCTTCTCCTTCCTCCTAGTCCCTTTCTGTTACACCCAATGTTGTGCATTTGTTTATTTATTTTAAAAAAAATATAGTGTTCATTAGTTTTTTTTTAAAGAAATAAAGCATTAAGAGGCCATTTGATAAATTCCCCTGAGGATACCATAAGGTTGAAACCAAGGTAGTGGATTTAACTAATCTCCTGATTTTTAAAGTTAAAAGCTCTACATGTTATTTTTACTTTTATTTAATTTTTCACATGTTTATTGAGCACTTTTTACTACCACTGTTTCCTGGTCTGATTCAATTCTGACCATTAACTTTTTATGTATTATATATATATATATATATATATATATATATATATATGATAATGAATAAGGAATCTTTAAATTCAGACCAAAAATATATTGAGAAATTGAATGATTGGGCAGTAGCCTATGAAATAAATTATTACCACATAATGGATTTTTAAGGACTCCTTATTCATTATTATAGTATTGCTCTGTTTTTACTTTGAGCTCTCCTTGGATTTATCTCCTCCTTGGAAGTATCTCTACCAAACATCATTCTCTGGTATCTCCAGTTCAAACCTCCATGGTAGGATACACCAGACCACTTACATAGTAGCAAATCACCACAAGAATTTTAAGATTTTGTTTTTTATTTTTATGGTGGAATATACTTGTATTGTCAATTAATATTTCTCTAAATTATGAATGTGGCAAGAATGTTCCTTTAAATGCTGTGCTATGAAACTTGAATCCGACCAATGTAGCATAAATCTCCTTGATAATGTTGTCGTGAAATTAACATATATATTTACTTTTTTGTCAGAGATACAATCTTCCAAAGAACATTTAAATTGATATACAATGTTGGTCTTTTGCAAAACATTAGTTGATGGAGAAAAGTTATTGTAGATGGTTGCATTAATTTTTTGTATAATATAAATAAACACTAAATAGAAAAGAGAGATTGAGAGGAAACAGAGAATCTGTCTATTTCTCTCAATTTGTTTTTTCTCTCAATCTCTGACAAAGCTTTAATAAAAGTGAAGCATGTTCGATTGATATACATTTCTTATTTGTTCTTTAACTTGTCGTCCTGTCAGATTCTGATCCATATTTGATCTGCAACTATATATATATATATATATATATATATATATATATTATGAAATGGACAAAATCCGACAATTATTTTAAGACATTTTTATGTTTATACATTCTTTTTATAAATACAAATATTTAAGTAAATGCTCTGTTTATTTTTTATAATAAACAGTATTTATAACAAGAAATTTTCACAGAAAATATTTGTCCTCTGATAAATGTTATAAATACTGTTTATTATAAAAAAAACAGAGCATTTACTTAAATATTTCTATCTATAAAAAGAATGTATAAACATAAAAATGTCTTAAAATAATTGTCGGACTTTGTCCATTTCATAATGTGTGATGTTATTTGTTTACATTTGGATACGTTTTAAGCAGATATGAATGTAAATGTGAGATTCATGGAAGATTGAAGTTTAAATGATTCTCTGTGGCTCGATTAGTTAAGAGCACATCAGGCTAACTGACGGTTCCATATAGGATACAGGTTCAAATCCTGTTGGAGGACGAATATTTTCTATGAAAATTTCTCGGACATTCAGGCCAGTAAATGTTATAAATACTGTTTATTATAAAAAAAAAAACAGAGCATTTACTTAAATATTTGTATCTATAAAAAGAATGTATAAATATAAAATGTCTTAATATATATATATATATATATATATATATATATATATATATACTAAATCATTTACAGATTGAATTTTTTTAACTCAATCCAAGATTAAAAAAAATCTGACACCAAATTTTACCTGAAATTGTATAGGGGAAAGAATATATATATAAAAAGGAAAGTGTATTATAAGTAAAATACTTTGGTACCATAGATTTTACAAGTGCACAGATGTACAAATTACTATGAGGAGGTAAGCTGTTGTAATAATCCATACAAAGCAGCCTACCTTGAAAAATCAACATTTGAAATATAATCTTACGAAAAACAGCTACTAAAAATGCCGGAGATTATTTGCTGCTATTTGAATCATGAAACCATCAAAGACATATATTGAGATAGAATTACAGACAAAGAAAGAGAGTATATATAACATCTATGCATTACTGATTTTACAAGTAAACAAATGTAACAAATACCAAAATTTTTAAATATTTAGAGTACCTATTTTCAGTGTGAAAAAAGATAGATGTTACCTGACAATTATAGGTCATATAAGCCATTAAGTTGATTCAGAAAAAAGACTGACTGCTTCCTGTTGATATGGATAAAATTAGTAAACAAAGTAGTATGATACACATTGTGACCAGAAATTTTTTAAAAAACTTTTTCATGTTACTAAAGATTAAGCTCTCCAAATCATGAACAGCCAACAATTTTTTTTTTTAATTTTATAAAATTTAATAGGGGGAGGGGAGTCCAGTTTGCTATGTAAATTCATTGTAAATTGATCTACTTACAGAAGCCAGAAAATGTGTTCATACACAGTGATTTCTTAAAATGTAAAAAAGAAATTAATAGAATTAAAATTCTAATTCATAGCGCTTTTTTTTTAAAATCATTTCACCCCAAGCAAGGCAGAAATACCACTAATATGCAGGGGGTTAAGGGGATTGAAAATGATAAAAATGATTGAGAATAGGAAGGATTGAAGATAGGACAAAAAAATGAATGGGATTCAACAAGACAGGAGATGGCGATTAAGATTGCATTTAAATTTTTGAAGATTGTAGTTATCTGGGAAGCAAGTAAATGGAAGGGAGTTTCCCAGGTGGGAAGAGAGAGAGAGAAAAAAAAACTGTTGGAGTAGAAGTGTCAATTGCATCTAGTTTGTTCAACAGTAAAGCAGTAATACCAAGTTGCCAATCTTGTGGCATGCTTAAATTCATGTATTTGGGACACCAAAGTAAAAAAAAACTTGTCAGAGCAATTAACTTTGAAAATATGTGTAGAAAAGACAGAGGGAAGCCACGCAACATTGGTGAGAAAGTGACTGAAGTTAAAAAGCCTCGTCAAGAGCAATTATATTACAGATCCTTCTTTGGATTTTGTCAAGAACCTCAAGATGAATACCAGGAGCACCAGACCAGATGACATTATATGAGAATATTTTGTTTTGGTTTTCATCAGAGTGGAGTAGGAGCAAGGGGTTAAATTTACATAGCAAACAGGATCTCCAATTAACTTTTATAAAATTTAATAAAAAAATTGATATCTGGAGTGCTTAGTCTATATTCGATTGGATACCCTCCTGATATAGACGTCTGGGTCTGTCTCATACTCTGCACCCCTCCTTTTGCACACTAGTATAATCTATAACAATATTAAAAAAAGGATTTCTTCTTTTGCATTGCTTGTTGTACAGCTTGTTTGATTACTATTTCCTAACAATAATCACAGGCAGTGCAATATTTGAAAGGGTCTACCCAGTGATGTGCAAAGGTTTGATGATGCCCAGGACCAACTTCTTGATTGTATGCCCCTAAAAATCAATTAGTACTGAGAAATGTGAGAAAGGAAGACATTTTAAATGATGAAACTGAAGATTGTATTGAACTGTTCATAACTCCAACTTCATTTTTACTTTATCCTTCTGTAACATATCTTGTGAATACATTTATTAATTATTGTTTGTTTTAATTCCATGTTTTCTGACCTTTTTTTTCCTTGAATCCTCCAAATATTGTTTATATTCAAGAAATCAATTAGTGGAAACCTATTGGGCTTAGTAGTGAGAAATATGAAAAAGGAAGATATTTTAAATCATGAAACATGAAATAAACACTTTATTCAAATTAAATATAAACTACATTTTTATTTCATTCTTTGATTGTATGCCCTCCCCATATGGATGCCTGGGACCGTCACACCCTCTGCATCCTACTGGTTCTACCTCTTTTCCCTTTGGCTTTCTGAATGGCAAGATGCAATTTCTTTCACTCCAATAGACACCAGGTATGTGAGTACTTCAGATAGGCAGACTGAAGATTGTATTGAACTGTTCATAACTTCTGCTTCATTTTTACTTTATCCTTCTGTAACATATCTTGTGAATACATTTATTAATTATTGTTTGTTTGAATTCCATGTTTTGTGACCTTTTTCTTTGTGTCCTCCAAATATTGTTTGCATTTATGGAATGATTATACTTTCCATTCCTGAAACAAACTCCACCAAAAAAGGAATTAGCAGTCACTTATAAACTAAGATAATTTATTTTCAGTATTTTTACAATTTTTAAGCATCAACCTGAAGACATGCAGGATTGTGCTTCATATTTATAAAACAAAACATCTCCTTCATATATGGTATGTATTTTACAAGAATAATTAAACTCTCTACACACATGAGTATGATATTCCATACAATTGAAATCATTGTTATGGTATCTTTAAGAATTTCCCTCCCACATGTATGTCTTAAAATTTTTCTTGTCAATTCTTCAAATCCTTTAGCATTTACATTGTTGATTATTTTGCTTTCAGATTTTATATACACAGTTGCTTGTTGTTAATTCTTTTTGTGAATTATATAAACCACTTTTGTTGTGTATTTCCTTCTTAAAATTTTTCTGGTTTCTCCTCAGTACATGGAATTATTTTTTTAAAACTTTTCACATCCAATTTTTAAACCCATTTTCTTCATTTTTATCATAATCCCTTTCTTTCCATTTTCTTTCTTTGGTCTCAGAATCTTAATTTAAAAATCTCAGAAATTAAAATTTTTACTATTTATCTTATTGATTTCTTATGTAATTTCCCACCTTATTTTTTCTCAGATTTTTCTTTCTACATTTTTAAATCTATTTCTCTGTCTCAAATTTTATATGTTTTTCACTATTATTTTCTGAATTCTTTCAATTTAATCTTTATTGATTTCTCTTTCTCTCCCTACTTCTGTTTCCATTAGTCTTTCTCTTACAATTTTCTTTCTATTGCTTCTCTCCTCCCTGTATTTTCATTAGCCTTTCTATTTATTTTTCCATTACCATTTTTTTTCTATTACTATTTCTCTTCCTAAGGCTTTCTCTCTTCCTTATTTTTTGATTTGACATTTTCTTTCTATTTTGTAGTTGTTCCTTTCTCTCTTTCTATGCTTTCATTACTTTTTCCCTTTGCTATCTATTATTTCTCTCTTCCTAATGCTATCATTAGTCGTTCTCTCTTCCTTATTCTTTGATTTGACATTTTCTTTCTATTTTCGGGTTATTCCTTTCTCTCTTTCTATGATTTCATTACTTTTTCCCTTTCCTCTCTATTACTTTCTAATGCTTTCATTAGTCTTTCTCCCTTCCTTATTCTTTGATTTGATTTTTTCTTTATACTTTCTCTTTATTCCTGTCTCTCGTGCCAATGCTTTCATTAGCCTTACTCTTTCCATTCTCTGTTTAACGCTTTCACTCTTCCTATGATTTTATTAGACTTTCTCTTTCTATTTTCTCTTAATAATCTTAACTCTTCCCTATGCTTTTATTAGCTTTCCTCTCTTTTCTGTTCTTTGAATTGACTCTTTTCCCATTTTCTCTTATTCCTTTCTGTTTTTCAATACCATCATTATCCCTTCCCCTTCTATTTTTTTGTTTTCCTTTCTGTCTTCCCTATACTTTCATTAGGCTTTCTCTTTCCATTTTCTCCCATTCCTTTCTCTCTTTTTGCATTTTTATTCTTGCTTTCCCTTTGCATTTTCTCTTTATTCCTCTCTCTCTCTATTCTCTTTCCTATACTTTCATTAACCTTGATCTTTCATATTTCTCCTTGTTATATATATAATGTGTGTGTGTGAGCATCATGAGCAAGTTCAGCCTAAAGATATTTCCGAAATATAGCCTTCTGCATAAGTTGATTAGCTTTAACAAATCTCTATTCCCAAATCACGCTGAAACACCGGTTCTCGTAGGATCACCGAAGTTAAGCAGCGTAGAGCCAGGTCAGTACTTAGATGGGGGACCGCTTGGGAACACCTGGTACTGTAAGCCCCAAAGTCCAACCCTTACCTCACAGTCGGTGGGGGGGTGTAAATGGTAGTGTCAGAGCTATGCCCCCGAACTTCGCTCCTGGTAGGGCCACCCAAGGTGGACAGGTCTGACACACACGCCAGCTAACAAGGGCTCTGGTGAAAATCCAAGGAGCGTCTGCATCGGGTAACCGGCGGCTTCTGGTCGTTCCTGTCTCTCGCCTGTGGGAATCCCGCTGCAAGCAAGAACGCTATCTGAGTAGGCCTGGGTACCCTACTTCTGTAATTTATCCCAAGAATCTTCTTCTCATAACAGGAAGAAGCCGGCTCAATCCACCCAGGGTGAATGCCGCATCAGTACAGTACAGTACAGTAATGCTCATATTTGACAAAGAGAAAAATATTAACATTTAGTAAACTGTGATGTTTGTAGATTATATTGCAAGTCTCCACTGCCCTGACAGGAAAGCCTAGATTCATCCTTGCAGAAGAGTAAAAGCCTACTTCCTAAATAATTGCATAGAGACACAAGTATATACACAACAAATGTTTACCTATTGACTTGAGTATAAACACAAGCAATACTTGCCTATAGGTTCGAGTATAAACACAAGCAATTCTTGCCTATAGACTTGAGTATAAACACAAGCAATTCTTGCCTATAGACTCGAGTATAAACACAAGCAATTCTTGCCTATAGACTCGAGTATAAACACAAGCAATTCTTGCCTATAGACTTGAGTATAAACACAAGCAATTCTTGCCTATAGACTTGAGTATAAACACAAGCAATTCTTGCCTATAGACTTGAGTATAAACACAAGCAATTCTTGCCTATAGACTTGAGTATAAACACAAGCAATTCTTGCCTATAGACTCGAGTATAAACACAAGCAATTCTTGCCTATAGACTCAAGCATAAGCACAACCAATGTTTCCTATAGACTCAAGTATAAACACAACCAATTTTACCTATAGACTCGTGCATAAGTACAACCAATGTTTACCTATAAAATCAAGTATGAACATGACCAATGTTTACCTGCTGACAAAAGTATACACATGGTCAATGATTACATATGAACTCAATCATAAACACAAAATATACTTAGCATTAGATTCAAGGGTAAATAGTACCGATGTTTACCTCTAGACTCAAGTATAAGCACAACCAATGCTTGCCTATAGACTCAACAACCAATGATTACTTCCAGACTCATGTATAAACACAACCAATGTTGACTATAGACTCAAATATAAACACAACCAATGTTTACCTATAGACTCAAGTATGAACATGACCAATGTTTACCTGTAGACACAAGTATACACATGGTCAATGATTACATATGGACTCAATCATAAAGACAAAATATACTTAGCATTAGATTCATGTTTAAATAGTACCAATGTTTACCTCTAGACTTAAGTATAAACATGTCCCATATTTATCTATGACCAAACATGAAACATTTTCAATGTTTACCTATGGACTAAAAAAAGACATCTTACTTCACATAACCTCCTTTCTGTTCAGCAATATGTCTTCCATTTCTCCAGATCTTCTTAGACTTCCATTTTCCACTGACATGAAATGGAGCAATTATATTGTCTCAATTGCTAGGAAATTTGGTTCACTGTTTTATAGCAGACAATTTTACTCATCAGAATCCCTCTTGCACAGCCATAAATCTATGATTTGCCTGTACATTGAATATTGCTACTTTATCTAGTTTATTGCTCCAACTCTATATCATAAGATTCTTGACAAAATTCAAAGAAGAATCTGTAATGTAATCAATCCTGACTGGCATCTCAACTTTCACATTCCTACTGATGTAATATGGCTTCCTTCTATCTTTTCTACAAATATTTTCATGGCAATTGTTCAGATGAGCTGTTCTCCTTTTTGCCTTCTGTGTATGAATTTAAGTCTACTGCTAGATTGGCAACTAGTTCTCACCATTTTCCTATTGAACTAGTTATATGAAACCATTATTTCTATTCTAACAGTTTCTTTTCTCACACTTCTCGCCTGTGGAACTTTCTTCCAATTTCTTGCTTCCCTGTCATATACAAACTTTAAAAATTTAAATGTAACATCATTTGACATCTTCGGTCTTCCAGAATCCTGTTCTCTTATTGTTCTTTTCCTCACTTCTCTTCACTTAAGTCTTCTCATTCTCTTTACTTGTTGGTAACCCCTGTATCCTAATGGCTTCATTTTGGTTGTGGTAAAGTGATTAAAAAAGTATAAACACACTGTTTATATATAAACTGACTAATGTTTACTTTAGAGACAAGTATAACCAGGATCAATGTTTACCTGTAGACTTCAGTATAATGAAAACCTGATTTTGAAATTGAATAACATAACAATGGCTGATATGTAGTAAAATTATCCAAACTCAATCTTGATCTGTACAATTCTCTTTTTGAAAAATGCAGATTTTTACGCACATTGGTATGTGATATGTCCCGTAAAGGGATATATTTGTTCAAAGTAGCAAAGTGGTTTTGGACTACTGTAACTGGGTCGGACAATCTAGCCGGTAACCATAATGGACTGGTCCTTGTCATAGTGGTAGGCAATAGGTGTAGGCAATCGTTGTACCAATAGGTGTCATCCTGTACCTCAACATCAGTTTGTATTTATGGCTGACACCAGCCAATCATATTACTGTGAGGGGGAACCCAGGTGTATGCATATTCATTACATCAGTATGTCATACAAGAAAGCAAGATGAATGTTGCATTTAACTGAAATACTTGTTTGCACGGATAAACTTATGATGGCCCAAGGCATTGGATAATTTGAAAATATAAAACAATTTTTAATGAGAATTCTTACTAAGAAACATTTAAATCATTTACTGATATTTTCTGCTTTTTTTTGTTGAAATATTTTCTCTGAAACAAGCTACCCTTGAGCAAATGAAAGGAAATTGACATTTATATTATCCTAATATATAATGGTTAAAAAACAAAATATCTTTTCTTTGTTTTGAAAAGGTGATACCTGTGTCTTTTTATTTCTTTGTCATCATTATATAAACAAATATATTTTAATTATTCACAAAATTCTTATGGGCTGATTAATCATCTCTAAAATGATTGCAATATTTTTCATTTTATGCATTCAGGTCATAGCTAAGGTTATAAACTTATCTGAAGAATAATATACACATAATGTTAAATATAATATCAATATATCTTTAATACTCATCAAAGTAATAATATGTTATTATATTTGCTGATGATAAAGGAGACAAAGGTTGATGGTATGAAAGTAGAGGTGGAATATTACCACCGGTAAAGCATAAATATTTTTTGCTTTGTTAACAGTAATACTGGTAAAATGGTATCTGGCATGAATGTATTTGCAATATTCTTCCTGATATGCATTGAAATCATAGGTAAGCATCCATTTATGTCACAAGACCAGTTTGGTCAAAATTCGGCTCTTTCATGTTGAGAATAGAGTGATCACTCTCCAGGGAGCAATCCTGGGCAATTGTATATGGAGACCATACACTGGCTGCTCTGACCACATAGCCTTACCAACAAAATCCAAAGGAATACAGGTCATTAAAATTTGGGGCTGGCTTCAGGTCATTATATTCAGGGCCCCACTCCAGATTATTTGTCTGAATTTACTTCTAGAGCCTTTTTCATGTTTGGATATGGCTGCTTTTTAAAATAATCGTTTTTCTTCCCATAAATGGACTACCTTCCCAGGCTGATAATCTCCATCTACCCAAATCAGCTGGTGCCAGTGATCTGTGTTCACTCATCTTCTGACTTAGAGATGGACTGAGTTGTCGGATGCTATTTGAGATGCAAGCCATGGGATCATTTTGTAGACAGTGGGAACTTGTCTCCATTACCAATTATGACAAGCTTTAGAACATATATAATATACATATTTAAACATTACATGCATTACATTTTTTAGAAGCTCTCCAAAAAAAATTAGTAGATTAAATAACCTTAAAAACACTAAAGAGCAAGACAAATTACAAAATACAGAAATAAACACAAATATCAAAATGTTTAAAAACTGGAAAAAGATAGGCAGAAAAAGAAAAACATAGATCAAGACTTAAGCTGAAAATACTTGGAGTTTATGAAGTCATTATTTATAACATATGATAATCTATATTATCTTTTTGACATTGCTAACACCTAAGCTATTAACTGATAAAAATAAATGAGAGTAGAAAAGGAAAAGTTAATGAATATATATAACTTTAGGTAAACAAAAACAGAAAGTTAAAATAAGACAAACAATCTTTAGGGTGGAAAAACAAATAAATACTAATACAAAAAAATCTGGTAACTGTGGAAAAAGTTGAAAGAAGTAATCAATACATACAGGGTGTCCATAAAGTTCGTGTACACTTTAAAAAATTTTTTATTGTATTTGTATTCACGATAGAAATAATTTGTTGAAAGGATTAGAAAGAGGTAAATCTATATGTTTCAAGGTTTTATCGAAATTTTATTTAAGTTTCCACATGTCCTCCATCATTAGCAATACAAAGGGTAATACGATTTTGCAGTTCATGGAAAACATTTGCCAACTGATTTACAGTAATGCCTGAAATCACATTAGTTATTTTATCTATACTTAAAACTAGGTACATTAAACTTTATAACATTTTTTACAGATTATTTCTATCGCAAATACAAATAAAGTTATAATTTTTTAAAGCGCACATGAACTTTATGGACACCCTATATATATATATATATATATATATATATATATATATATATACTACTGTACTGATGCGGCATTCACCCTGGGCGGATT